TATATATATATATATTATTTATTATATTAAATATTTTATGATAAATTTGATTTTATGATATTTTATTTTACATGATATTATTATTCTAAACTTGTAAACTAAATTTTATTGTAAAATGTATTTTCATCAATACATTAATATTATATACAAATTATATTTTTCATAATTTTTATTTATAACTTATTTTACTAAATGATATTCAAAAAAATATATTTATTTGACAATTAAATAATTCTTAAATTTATATAATTTATAATAAATAAATTAACCATTTATACAAATATTTATTTTATTTTAATTGATTCTAGCAAATTTAGCAAGTATATTTTGATATTTACGATTTATTTTTTTCTGTTAATAATACTAAACTTGACTTTTATTATATATATATAAAATATAGTATACATAAAAATATTTTTTTTAAAAAAATGTATAGAAATTTTTCAAAATAAAAAATATAATATTGATTTCTATTGAAATAATATTTTATACAATATTAAGACAAAATTGTTGATTATATTGGTTTGAAATAAAAAACATATAAAAACTGTATATTCAATCAATTGAATGAAAATCTATATATATATATATATATATATATAAAATATATATAATATTTGTTTTGTACAAAATAAACTAAAAATTTTTAAGCTATATATATATTCAATATACTGTATATATATACACAATATATATAATATATAATAAAATTTTATTGAATTGTATATTTATATTTTAAAATCAATTTTATTATTTTTCCAATTTATTCTATTTTATTATATATACAGTATATATATATATATATATAGTATATACTGTTTATAAATAAATTGTTGAAAATTTTGACAAAATATATATATACAATAAATATATACGGAGAATATTTTTAAAATTTTTTATTTTATTTGTTTAACTTTAACTCAATATAATATAATCTATTGGCAAAAAATAACAGATATTGTTTAGAATCGTATAAAATATAAACTAAAATAAAATCATTTTTTTAGAACAAAAATATTATTATTATTATATTATTTCAAATATGTTTACAAAAAAAATTTTAATTAAAAATTAAATGCTAATAGAAATCAACTAATTTTGTATATAATTAGTAAACAATTAAACAATTTTTCAAAAAAAATAATAATATTAAATCATACCCTCTATGTATGTGTGTATGTATGCGCTATCATAGACAATGTTTGTATATATTTTTGAATTATATTATTATATTATTTTTTGTTATAATATATTCATATTTTTCCAAAAAATTATTTAGACTCACGTAATATTCATATTAAGTATTATACAAAAAATACAGACATAACACACACACATAACATACATACACACACTTACATACATTACACACAAAATAAAGAGATTATATAACACTAAATGAAATTTTTTATTTTAATAATTTATAAGATAGTGTATACAAAATTATATTTATCTCTCTCTCTCTCTCTCTCTCTCTCTCTCTCTCTCTCTCTCTCTCWCTCTCTCTCTCTCTTGCTTTGCAAATATAAAAATGTATTTAATATTTAACACCATTTACTCATTTAATATTTAAAAACATGGTTTTTATTTATTACATTTTGAGTGAAAAAAACATATTACAGTATAATTGATTTTTTATATGTATATATACAGTAGATATATATATAAAATATAAACAGTATTATTATGTACTGTAATATAAAACATGTATTTAAATCTCTCTCTCTCTCTCTCTCTCTCTCTCTCTCTCTCTCTCTCTCTCTCTTTCATATGATGTAAACTGTCAGACAATTATTATTTTAAAACAAAATTTTTAATATATTGAAAAACAAAATAATTTTATTATCATTTTATGTACTATTAATAAAATTAAATAAAAATCTCATTATTTTGTTGTAAAAAATTAGATTTTCTATTATTATTATTATTATTTTATTTTTATGTGTATATTACATGTCACTCAATATGCATATATATTTTTTTCAATAGACTACATATAAACTTTATATAAAATATATATTTTTATGCATTATTATTACTATCATTATAACTATACAAACTAATACAATGTATTTATTCCCACTATATTTTTTTACCTACTAATAATATGTCAATATCTTACACATAACATAACTTTACCGTAGTTTTTACAAAAAATAAAATAAATTTTATCGCAATTTTAGGTTTTAAACACGTTTTGTCAATTTTTCACAAGATTTTTCTTATGGTTAGAGAGAGAGAGAGAGAGAGAGAGAGAGAGAGAGAGTTTTATATTATCAATATTAGAGTACATTTTATAGTACATTGTACTGAATATATGCTACTCTCTCTCTCTCTCTCTCTCTCTCTCTCTCTCTCTCTCTCTCTCTCTCTCTCTCTCTCTCTCTCGACATACACACATACATACATACACACAAATAGTGATTAATATATATAGGAAATACACATTTGCTATCATTTTTAGATAAATCATAGACTGACTAAAAAATATATATTCATATATTTTTGTAAAAATATTTGTAGAAACACTTATATATACAGTACTAACTAAATAACAAAAAAAAATTTGGTTATGTTTGCAAAAATAGCTCGAAAATAAAAATTATTAAAAAAAAATATAATTATAATATTTTCTAATAAATTTTGCCAAATATTTTTTCGTTTTTTTTGTCTAAAATATTTATATATATATATTTTGATGAGTTTATATAAATTATTTTTTAGTGGGAATAATTAATTAGCAAATAAAAAAGCATATAAATTATTTGGTTAAATGTTTAAACAATTTATTAGTGGACCAAACATTTTTATTATTTTTTATTTTATTAGATATTATTGAGTTGACACTGAAATCATTAGTTTTATTATATATATATATAAATGATGAGTTGGTTATCCACCCCAAAAAATACATAAAAATTTATAATAATAAATATTTCTCATATACTTTATATAGTGTATAACTACACACACACACACACTCATACATAACATAAATGACTGTCCAATTTGTATACATAATGATTGCAAATTCATTGCCACTAAACTAATATTATAATCAATTGTATTGAATGAAARAGAGAGAGAGAGAGAGTGRGTGAGTGAGTGTTAGCTATGAGTGTTGCTAACCGTCCGACACTTGAGATGACAGTTCAAACTGGAGGAGCGCTAACTGTGTGTTCATTCATACAAATAATATATAATAATTTATATACCAATCAATAGGACTATAAGTTAGAGGAAAGAGAGAGAGAGAGAGAGAGAGAGAGAGAGAGAGAGAGAGACCGTCAACTATGTTGTTTTTCCCCAACAAATAATAATAATAATAATAATATATAATATATTATTATTATTATTATCAATATATTAATATATTTTCTATTAAGTCACACATCATATACAATATACATATATTTCTATGTATTGATTCCTATGTATTCTCCCATAAAAATATATTGCAATTTATTTTATTTTATTTTTTCATTTATTTATTATTTGTGATCACATTTGTGTAATGTGTGAATGAATTGCTGAATGATTGAACAGCAATATAAAAGTACAGAAATATATAATAATAATAATGATTTTTTTTCAATAAATTTTCAATAAATGTGTGATTTCTTTATTTGTATGGCTCTCTCTCTCTCTCTCTCTCTCTCTCTCTCTCTCTCTCTCTCTCTCTCTCTCTCTCTCTCTCTCTCCTATTACTTGTACTGTACTATAGTTTAGTATATATATAATATATTGTGATTATTGTAAGTGAGATATTAGATATTATATATTATTATTATATGATGTGTTCAATAGGGTTCTAACATTACTACGATTACTATAAAAAAAACGGAATATACAATATATATAGTAGTTTAGTATTATATTTATTGCATATATATATATATATATATATATATATATTGTATATCTATATATGAATAGGCTGTCTATACTTATTTTAGACATTCAGTCACTTACTCACTCACCCGCTCATCATTGATGAGATGAATGGGGAGATCAACACAAATGCTATACTAGTAGTCCTCAACACTGGTATTAGTTTAATATAATATAATATATCTCTCACTCACTCACTCACACTATGAGAGTGAGTATGTATTATAGAGTGAGTGTGTGTTTTGTATAGCATTTTAAGCCGATATCTATTCATAAAAAACTAATATATATATATATATATATATATATTGTATATCTTATATATACTTTATGTCTCCTTAAGCTTCAATAGTCATGTTATATACAGTTTCCTAACACTCCCGATGCTATACTGTAACACAACAACTAAAGTATTTTTATTTTATTTGTGAATAAAAATTAATAAATTTATTTTATAGTATTATATATTATATATATTATATAATATTAATACATATAAATAACTTAAATTTTAGTTTATTATAATGTTTTTAAATAATATAAATTGAATAGAATTATAATATAAATACTATCAATAAAACATACTAATATCTATTAATCTTAGATAAAATGTATAATTTATTTATATTTAATGTTTTAGATTATCAATAAAATTTATTTTTCAAATTAATATCACTCATATATAATATATAAAATACTTAATCATTTATAAACATTATAAATAATAATAGTTATTTATCATTGACATTGAAGTTTAAATAATTAAATTAATATCATATTGAAGATTTATTATATATATATATATTATTAGATATAAAAATTTCAAACAATTATTACAATAATTATTATTCAAAAAATAACTTAATTTATATATTGATATACTTATATAATATTAATTGTATTAAATTAAATATACATCTATATACTTATTATATACATGTTTATTAAAATATAAAACAAATAAAATAAAATATAATTATTATTATTATTTACAATAACAACAAAATTTTTGAACAAAAAAAAACATTTTTTTAACAATTATTATTAAAAATAATTTCATTAATAAATTTAATTTATTTAATTACTTTATTATTATTTTATATTATTAGAGGGTCGGGTGCATACAGTGGCCAACTTTATCGGCGGTCGGGCATCGATGCCGTGCGAGGTTGACCTGACCGGGTGCGGTAATATCTATTTTATTACGTGGACAAAAAACGTTACAAACGATTGGCAGCGCGTGTTTCTCTATAGTCAATCGTATGAGCGCGTGTTGGGTGACTTTGAAACCTATTCGGCCGATAGGGTCCGCTTCGATGGCCAATCAATCAATAGGACCGGTGCGGCCTATTTGACAATCACTCAGCTGGACATTGTCGATGAAGGTGTCTATAAGTGTGACGTAACCTATACCAGGCCTAACATCAATGGCAAGTGTCCATCACTGACGTACACCCGATTGCATACGTTAGGTAAGTGCCGGAAATGTTTTTATGTATTTAATAATTAAAATTAATTAATTAATTAAGTTTTTTTTATTATTATAAATATTTTTACATTTTTAAAAATTTTTTTTGTTAAGTTATTAATTAACTTAAAATTTAATAAATTAATATATTTTTTTGGTTGTTTAATACTAATAATACAAAAAGTTATATAATGTTTGTAATTATAAATTAAATAATTGATTTTTTTTTTTTATAAACAAATAAAACTCATTAGGTTTTTTTGTGTGCATACATACAGTAGACTAAAAATATTATATGATATACTGGTGAAAATATGTTTAATTTATTATTAAAATAAAATTTTTTTAAAAATTTTTAAAATATGATTTTCCACACATATAAATCTAATTATTAAAATTTATGAAAATACTATATGAAAATATAATAATAAATTAAAAAATTTGATGTGCAATGCACTAAAAATTATAATTAATTACTCACACTTTAATATTATATATATATAGTGATTATTATTATTATTATTTTTAGCATTTAGTTTAGACAGTGTATTAGAGGTTAGTATACATAACATAATATAAAATATAAAATATTTTTGAATACTAAAGTGAAAACTAATGTGTGGTCTCTGTCATACACCACACATACACACACACACACACACACACACACACACACACACACACACACACACACACACATACATACATACACACACACACACACACACACACACACACTTAAAATGCTTATTATTATTGAGTGACTGACACCACAAATGAAATTAATGAATATTTTTAAATATTTTAACTTAAAAAAAATGTTTTGAAATATATGTGTGATTTATGTTTGCTAAAAAAGATAATTTTTAATTTGTTTTTAAATAAATAAAATAAATAATTTTATTTATAACTTTTTTATAACATAAAATTAATTTTCTAAAAAACATTTATTTTAAAAGAATCAATTTAAATGCAAAATTTAAATTATATTATATATAAATTTTATTATTAGTATTAAGTATTTTAAGTTATATTATATAAAATCATTATTTTTATTTCATTGAAATCATTATATTTTATTCAAACAATTAAATTGTTGCCAACAAAAACACAGTGATAACTAAACAAAAACCAAATAAAAAAATTGTTTAATTAATTAAACTTAGCTTTAGTTTTGTTTTATAAAAAATGTGTTGAATAATTAAAGTAAAAAATGTTTTATATTGTGTTTAACATATATATATATATATATATATACTGTATATATATATATATATATATACATTGACACACACATTAAAATCGCATTAAACACACACAACAATAAAGTAGTTTTTGATTTTACAATAAATTTTTTTTGTTACTTTAAAAAGCACTAAAAACTACTGTACTGTATGTGTGTGTTTGGGTTGAAAACAATACGTGATTTTAATTGAATTTATAAAAAGATAACTGAAATTTTCAATACTAGCAAAATATATATATATATAAATTTTGGTAACATTTTGTGTGCCTTTAAAAAAAAAATTAATCTAAATTTAAGTGCATTTTTTATAACTTTTATCGGTTGTGAAAATCTATGATAATTGAATTGAATGAGAAAAAAAAATAAATTTATTTTTTTTATTCAAAAAATTTAAGCAAAGCTTTTAATTTTATCGTTCAATAGTTCACTCACTCACTAACTATCAGTGATTATATATTGTATGTATAAAAATACTGTACGACCAATGCTTAAGTAGTAGTTATGGATCACTAACTTTCCTCTCAAACATTTAACTAATACAACAACACTACTATTCATTTGGCAAACTCCAAGTGCTCTCTCTCTCTCTCTCTCTCTCTCTCTCTCTCTCTCTGACTGTCAGTAATAGGTGGGTATCAGTGCTGGCAATCAGTGATGACTAAAATACATTGGGGTCTCTCTCTCTCTCTCTCTCTCTTTCTTTCTCTCAATATTAACAAACAAACAAAAATCTATAGTCACTGAACACCCAAAGTAATAGACTATGAATGCATATATGTATGCGAGGAGAGAGAGAGAAAGAGAGAGAGAGAGAGAGAGAGAGAGAGAGAGACACTGTTTGACTGTTTCTTAATTAAAAGTGAAGATTGATTTTTTTGCGGGTGTTTTCAATAGTATTATCATATAGTTTATACATATTTATAGATACAGGTACAGTACATACTGTATATATATAGCATGTTCATAGCATGTTAGCCATATCTGTTCAATCAATCAGTACTTATACATCACTCAATGATGTGGTGGTGTTAGGTGTGACCACTGCTGCCGTCACCGCCGACGCCGCGCACACGTTGTTGTTGTCGACACTATTATTGCCTATCAATGTATGGTTTTAATAATAATAATAATAAATACAGTTTATGTGATTATCACTGCCGATCACGTCTATAGACAGTGTGTGTGTGTGGGCCCCGGTATTAATGAGTGGGGAGTTATGTTTGTTTGTTACCTAACTAAATAACTATCCTAACAATGTTTTCAATTTTAAAAAAAAGTTAAATACTTTATATACCCTACTATACCCTCCTACCGATTTCACCCATTTTGCTAAACAATAGATACAATTTGATTAATATTTTCCCTTAAAATTTGGTTATAAAAAAATTGTTGCTCAAAACAAATATTTCTAATTAATAAAAAAAATTACTCTAAAATTTTTATTTTCATTTACTGAATACTATATAATAGATAATATTTTTTTTAAAAACACTGAATTCAATGGACAGTTAGCTGTGTTGTTTGATTTGTATGTTTGCTTAACTAATAGTCACCCATTTGTATAGTGCCTTTCATTACTGGTATATAAATGCAAAACTATGAGATTATATATGATTTTAGGCGATGCTCTCATCTCTCTCTCTCTCTCTCTCTCTCTCTCTCTCTCTCTCTCTCTCTCTCTCTCTCTCTCTCTCTCTCTACTTTCCCTCTCATTCACTAACTAACTAACAATCCTTATATTTATAGCTACAATACAGTACAGTAAACTATTCCTATAGTGAAGTCATTCAAGTGTTACATAACGACCGCATATATAATAATATAAGTTATATAATAATAATAATAATATAATGATAACATAAATCATTGCCAAAGTTTAGTGTAAGAGAGAGAGAGAAAGAGAGAGAAAGAGAGAGAAAGAGAGAGAGAGACAGAGAGAGAGAGTTTTGCTCTAATTATCTGAATGAGCAAAGAGTATGTAATTATGAGAGAGACTGAGTGAGTGAGTGAGCAGAGAGAGAGAGAGAGAGAGAGAGAGAGAGAGAGAGAGAGAGAGAGTCATATAAATACATAAATCTTATATAACTATAGTAACAATAATTGCTATCTAAAACTCCAAGTATTTATTGTATATAATCTTATTATTATTCAAAATATAATTTATTTTATTAAATATAATTTGTATATATATTTTTACTGTACATATACTATGTGTATATATATTGTATAAAAGTTTGTCTTTAATTGTAACCGAAATAAAATAAAATAAAAATAAGATTTAAAAAGACTTTTGTTATAAATCTAAGATATTTTTATGCTTTTTTAAATATTATATTAATACAGTATATACTGTATATACTTATGATTAGATAAGTATTTATATGAAAAAATAGTATCCAATTATAAATAAATCATTAAAAATATTTTATAACAATAAATAAATTTAAAATCTTGTATTAATTTTATTTAATATAACTTTTATGGAAAAACGGTATTAAATTATTATTATTATTATTAATGTATATATTAGTTAAGTTATATAATATAGATATATATATTTGCATATTTTAATTAATTAATTAATTCATATTTTTTCGTTTTGTTTAATATTGAATATTATACTGTAGTTGAATGAGATTCATGAATAACATCTATAATATATATATATATATATATATAAATTCAAACATTTAAATAAAAATAATTAATAATCATATATTATATTAAATTAATTCATAATTATTTGGTTTTATTTTATGAATTAATTACATTTTTGATACTAATTCTATATTTATTAATAAAAATTCTAAAAAAATTTAAATATTATAATTAAAAATAATATGTAAAAACTAATATGTAAGTGATTTTTATGATAATCATTGTTTTTTTTAAAAATATTGTTAAATTTTTAAACATCAAAATCAACAACAACAAAATTTATTCAAACATTATTATTAATAAACTGCTAGATAATCACCCACACACTCACACATTTGTATAAAACATACATACATTCACTCACATTGTGTGCTGTCTAACCATCAAACAGAGATACCTGTCCCTTATCATATATCATTAATTTAAATGTAAGCTCATGTATGTGTGTATCTATAAATTATGGCCCAACACACACACATGTCTATTTATTGGGCAACAAAAAATATACACACATATCTATAAAAATCAAGTATAAACTAATATATATACAAATATTAAAAAATAAAATAAATTTATTTATAGATTTACAGTGAATTATTATTTTTTTTAGTTAATAAATAATTACATTTATCACATTTAACTTTCAGGGAAAACAACAAACTAGTAATAAAAAAAAATTAAAATTAGTAAATATATGCCCAAATAGTGATAAAGTGGTGGGCAGTTAGATATTAGAGGGCTGGTATGTTTTATGAAATAAGCATTATTATAATTATTATCACTATTGGCAGTATAGATATAATTTAAATTTAAATTTTTATTAAATAATTTATTTCTAAGTGTTTATAATTTGACATATTTGTAAAAAATAATACTAACAATAATAATTAAAATACTAATAATAAGTTAAATTTTTTTTAATTAATTACTATATATATAAAATTAATTATTATTTTTTACATTTTCATACTATAAAAATTAATTAATAGAAAAATTATACAGTAGTAACTAATTTATATATAGTGTATAAATATATATTTATAAAATAAAATATTAAATATAATACAGTATATAAATATATAATGACAATTTATAGCTAC